TTCGTTGCTGTTTCCCCCGAAAACGGCAGGGAAGGGTTTGAGAGGGTAAGGCATGTAGGGTTGAGGAAGTGGGGGAGGAGGGGTTTCGTCAGCTCTAATGGTGATTACCTCCGTGATTTTGCTCTTGTTGGTTTTGTTTAGCTGATGATCTGGGACTCACTAAGGACATACGTGATTTTGGATATGATTTGAAATATTAGTTTGATTCCGTAGGTTTTGAATTATCTCAACTGTTGATTCTATTATCCTATCCGGAGTATGGTTGAATACACTTGCCTAAAGATTAATTCATGATGGATGTTCTGAGTTGTATGATCTCAGGATACTCTGATTTGCTCTGGACCTCTGGCTAATTTTGATTAAATTCTGATTGATCTTCTGAGTGAATTTTGGATCTTGCGTTTCAAATTTCAGTAATCTTAAGTCCTTCGGGATATCTCAAATAAGTTTCTCATTTTTTCTTCCAGATCGATGGGCCAATTTTTCAATCATGGTTTTTCTTCCGATTTCGCGGAAGTGCACGTGGTACAATTCTTATGGATATTATGGTTTGCTTAGGGTTTCTCGCCCTGGCATGATCGTTACTGATGGTTTGTCTGATTCTTTAATTTCGAGAGAATTCAAATGAATTCATATTTCGTAATCATGAAAATAAACTTCTGATAAGAATTGTAAGCTTTGGATTTTAGGGCAGAAGCGAAACTGAGTGAAAAGGGGTGGTGGAGAGATTTGAACAGCTAAACTAGACTGAATTTCGGTCGAGTATGTCTGTGGAGAACTTTGCTGGACGACGCAGATCGGTACTGGGGCGTTGCCCTGTAACTCAGAATGAGGGTTTGAGATCTGGGAAGTTGCCGTGATTAGACGACAACCAGCAATTCTCGACGACCGGCTGATGTCGGGTTATAACCCTGTGATCTGTGAGACTTGGTCGGGGGAGTTGTCGAGGGAGGAAGGCATTCTATCCGTTATAACAACGAGAGTCAGAGCCGGGGCAGGTTGTGCTGCCTTGTATCACTAGCTTCAAAGGGGGTTTGAGACTCGAGAAGTTATTTACGATGACAGAAAGGCTGAAACTAAGGATGGTTTAGTCAATTAGAGTGGGTATAGGGAAAGAAGGATGACAATTTCGTTTTGGGGAGTTGTGCCACCTCTGTGTGGACAAAGGGTATAGCATAGGCTTCGCTCCGAAGTTTTTAAAATTAGATTGAAGCTCATATTCTTTTTTCAATTGAATCTCAAGCTCTTGTAATACTCTTATGTTTCATTTGGGTGTTGGAGTAGAGCTGGTGTTTGACCAATAAGGAACAGGTTGCTGGGAAGGATGGGGGCAGAAGTGGGGGAAGGATTGGGTTTTTTAGCAGGGAGCCTGTCTTTGATTGTTGCTGAGTATGTTTTGGAGGAGTTTGCTGGGACGATGCAGATCGGTGCCGAGGTGCTGCCTTGTAACCTGATGAGCGGGGGTGTGAGGTCTGGGAAGTTTCCTTCTGGGGGAAGGCAACCAGCATCTTTGACGATTCGCCGTTGTCGGGGAATAACCCTGTGACCTGAGGGGACTTGAGGCTTAGAGTTGCCGAGGGAGGAAGACACTTTTTTCCATTAAATACGACGAGATTCGCAGTTGGGTTGGGTTGTGCTATCCTGTATCTATAGCAGGAAGGAGGGCTTGAGAGTCGAGAAGTGTTTTACGAGGGCAGAAAAGTGATAGTCAAAGGGGATTGTTTGTTAAAATAGTTGTTCCTTGTGAAGAATAGGGTATGGGGTAACTTTGTTCTAAACTCTGAAAATAAAAAAGAGATTTCGGTAAAAAAAAGAATGTTTTAGGATTCTTGGGACTTATAGCAACTCGCTTTAGGCTGTTTGATACTGTTATATTCATGGATCCGCGGTTGTTCAATGCCAGAACGACGCTGGCCGGTGCTGGGGTGTTGCCCTGTAACCTGCTGATTGTAGGACCGAGAGACCTGGTAGAGAGAGCTGGAGATGCTTTGGGGTGGGCATTCCAAGGGACAACCTAGGGTAATTGTGGGACGACGCTGGCCGAAGCTGGGGCGAGTCGTGTTGCTCTGTAATCTAGCCGGGTGGGGGTGTGAGGCCTAGAAAAGCTCGACAGGGAATAATACAGTGTTAGACAGTTTTAGAGAGTTTGGTTTGGGAGTCTAGGGGTTCTCAGCATTCGAAAAGAGGTCAGTAGTCGTTCCTATTTTTTCAACCTCTTCTTTAATTCTTTTGAAGTTTTCCAAATAGTTCTCAGATTGATTCTCAGCCGAAGCCGGGTAATGGCCCCGGTATCTCAAAAAAAAAGAAAGTCTCGAGAATGCCTTAGGATTTTGGGCACTTCTTGCAACTCATTTTAAGGTTTGTTTAATGCTGTTATATTCATGGATCAGCGGTTTTTCGACGCCAGAACGACGCTGGCTGGAGCTGGGGGGTTGCCCTGTAACCTGTTGATAGCAAGAGCGTGAGGCCTGGTAGAGAGATCTGGGGATGCCTTGGGCCGGGCATTCCAAAGGAAAACCAAGGGTTGCTGTCGGTACGACGCTGGTTGGAGCTGGGGTAAGTTGTGTTGCCCTGTAACCTAGCAGGGTGGGGGCATGAGGCCTGGGAGAGCTCGGCAGGGAATAAGACAGTGTTAGAGAATTTTGGAATGTTTTGTTGGGGGATTCAAAGGACTTCTGTGGCTTTCCGTTTTGACTTAGCAAGTGCTGCTTGAGTAGCCTAGCAATAGGTTAGCAGTTATCCATGTTTTCCTCAATTTTCCTGAACTTTTTTTCATAGTTCTCAGATTGTTCTTAGCCGAAGCCAGGTAATGGCCCTGGTATTTCAAATCTTTTGTATAATTCTATATGGGACGCTGGGTCCGGTTCCCAGCACGTGTTGCTCCCCACGAATAGACTGGAGCATTTGTCCCAAAAAAAAAAAAAAAGATTCAGGGTAAGCCTCTCCCTCAATCTAACATACACCCCCTACGAATGCTTCGCCTCCCTCCATGACGAAGCCCCTGTGGAGCAATGCTCACCACTTCTCCTTAGAATTCAGATGACAGCAAACAGCAGCCTATTAAGATGAAATGAATATCTGACCCAAATTCAACGTCTCAGCGGTAATACCCTACCTCCCGCTCGGCAGGGGTTAAAGACCCCGCAAACCCACCCGCCTCCTCGCGATTTAGGGAAAACCACTTCTACTAATCTGCACCTTCTCACAAGGAAACCCCACTGCCCAGCATAATGGCGTTTCTACAGAGGGGCACTCTCTATTTTATTCCATTGGCGTAGACATCGTGGCCGTGCGGGGGGGGG